TCGACCCCACTTGCTGCCAACGCTGCGTAACAGTTCGTCACTCCCGTCCATCACAAACGGCGACCCAATTAGTCTGCGTGGGTGCTCGCCCTTCGATGACCATACAGCCAATCGTTCTTTAGAGCCCGCCGCGGGTGTGCTACCCCTGTTACGCGAACAGGCCCTGGAACCAACGACACACCCTCATGATCATTCACAGCAGTGGACAAAAAGCTTCGTCAAGCGGGAGACCCGGTTGTTCCCCGCAACGGCCGTAACCGACCCGGATCATTGATATACATTCTGGAGTCACACAAGCCTGGTGGTGGTGTTGAAGCGCCTCACTCTTTCGCTCACTGCGGAAACTAATCGAACGGACCACGTGGGTGACGAGTCTCAACTTCAATAGACCCGCAAGTCGATGACTCGAAGCAACGAGATCGCTAGGACAATTTACTTCCTGGACAAGACTGGCCGACCAAACCAGCATTGGTGGTGTTGTACATGAGCGACAGTTTCAACAAGGACAGCCACCCGCCCCCTTTGAGCCCACTTCTGGCCTGTCCTTCTTCAGAAATGCGCACTCATGACCACGACTTCCAAACCCCGACGAGCACGACCAGGGGAGCGCAGCGACAGAAATAAAATACGGGCAGCTCCTTTCTTCACGGGAGCAGGTCCGGTCGCGCGTTGAGGTGCTAGCATACAGGTCAAGGCTTGATAGACCTGCCGGCCGCTAAAGCTAGGCAAAAGATGGTGTGGCCGTTGGTGCTTCAGGTACAGGGGTGGGGGCGGCAAGCTCAAGAAACAGACCAACAGATCGAACCACTTGGCTCAAGAGCTGAGTTGTGATAGACCGACAAGGACAAGGCCGGTACTTCGTCGACAAGTGTCCCTGCATTTGCTGCACCGCGGCATGCTCAGACTTCCCGATGACCAGTATCTCTCGCTCAAAGCAGATGTATGGGGCAGTGTCGAGTCCATTGGGTTCGACAGCACTGCAGGAGTTCTGTATGTGTATCATTGGGTTTTATCGGCTGCGCTGTGATCACGTTGGAAGTGGCTTGCTCACTACTAATTCCAGAGCGCGAGGGCGGCGGAGCCGGGAGTGAGCGGCATGCAAGCCAGCACAACGGACTGCATCTGTCGAAGGGGTATGTAGAGTCGTCTGTGACCCTTCCTTGGCTCACTGTTGTTCGTCTATGCTCGTTCCAGCATGGGCTCGTACAAACATGTGGAAATGAAGACAAGTAGACTTGGCTGGATGATACTTTTGAAGGCAACACTCACGTTGAAGGGTTTCAAACCGGCATGGGTCGCACCAAAACTTTCATCCATCCGTGAGAGAATCAGCGCCAACCACTCCTTCGACACCACTCTGGTGCATTTATATATCTGTACCCGTGTTCATCGAAAATGTACCAACGAGACCTAGTTTGCAGTGTGGCAAGATGAAAGACCATTTTCTGGAGGTGCAGGGCTTCCCCTGTATTAGACACGGTGTCCAGAAAAGAGTGAAGAGGGGGGAGTATGAGAAAGTATATGGTGTGAAAACAAGGTCAGCCGATGTCTGCAAGAAGGAAAAGAAGAAAGGAACAGGCATCATCGGACGGGTGGGCGTATGGTGAGGTCGCATAAGCGCGGCCCATGGCGAGGAGCAGGTGGCGTTCGGGAGGGTGATCGCTGTCTCTGTGACCGACTCGGGCATTTTTGTTTGTGTACTGGATTAGTCGAAGGTGAGAATAGATGACTGGGCCAAAGCAGAAGCAGCAGTGTTTTGACCGCAGCATCCTTGACCCTGGAGTCCTCATGTGCCATGTTAACCAAGGCGCCGCCTTACCAACGCACACATTGTGTGCTGCGCTGATCGAGTTGCCCCAAATCCAAGGCTCTAAGCCCTCCAATTTACCTGCTCATGCGGGTAAAATGGTGAAACCCCTGTTGTGTGTCTCCTCTTCGCGAGTATAAGATCCGCCAGCCTTGCCATCATGCTTGCACCTTCGTTCTGATTTCCATCCTTCTTCACGTTGTACCTCTTCCAACAATCCAAAATGTCGTTTCCCAAGAAACAGGCCCAGATACAGAGAGTCACCAAGCTCTATGCAGAACTCAACTATCCGAAGGAGAGTCGTTTCTATCCAGAGCTGAAAAAGCAATTACTTTCTTTCTTCGAAACCTATCAAGATCAAAACGGCAAGTATGCGCGGGAGTTCACGTCAATGACAAAATACGAAAGAGCAACGACCAAGGAGGCCTTTTCAAGGATGGCCAAAATCTTCAGCGATACTGACAACAGAGGCAACCACTTTTGGCCGAGTGATCCTAGTTCACCTTATCGCAACGGCCTTGACTTCAGCGTTCCAGTAGACAGCTCTAGGTATGAAAGCGAGAACGGGCCGCATCACTTCATGAGCTCAAATTTTGTACAACAGGATCTTGAGCTACTTGGGGCAGCTCTTCTACCGCAGGTCCCGGCATTTACGTGAATACGATAGCACAAAGAGCAAGAAGACGACTGATAGTCCCGACAGTCTTGACGAAGACGAACCAAGCCCTAGTTTCACTGGGTCCACGTTACAGCCTGATGGTCCCCAAAATAAGGACACCAACTTGCCACCTGACAGGTACCTCTTGATACCCAGATACCCTGTGCTTACAGACTTGCTGACTTTGCAGTCCGGCGGCGCGGTTTGAGACCTCTGAATCACGACCCTTCCAACCGCACCTGGACGAGCCAGAACAGAGCACTACCGCCCCACTCAACGTCGCCGACACTGTGAACACACCAGCCGCATCGCGTCGCTCAGGGAATGCTACAGACTTTCGGGGCGAGTACGTGGATCCGCCCTCGATCATTGATCTGATCAATACCCCTTCCACATTCACCAGCACCAGACACGGGAATGGTGGCGCTCAGAAACAATCTGGAAAACGCACTAGAGGGACAGAGTCTTTGACTCCAAGCAAGAAGAAGACACCAGCAGGCAAAGCAGGTGCAGGTTCCCATACCTCACCCGAAGGCACGCGATGGTCATCGCGAAATCGAACGAAAAGGGTCAAGGAGGGTTTCGTTTACGGCTCTGATGTAGACGCGGAAGTTGCTGCTGCCGTGCGGCGGGATCAAGAGGAACATGAGGCACGAAATGCTCAACGATCTGAGCAGCACGCTGCAAATAAATACACGGTCATTCCCACCATCGAAGGGCCCTCTGCCTCTGGCCAGAATGCGCCGGAGGCGCCAATGCATTCGTCACCCGAGCATACAGAACCGGCGCAACAGGGCATCCCGAAAGTTCCACCCAAAGTCGCGAAAGTTGTGGATATCACGACCAAGGTGATTCTCTCCGCGGGAAGACTTACGCGAGAGGTACCATGGCAGTCGGAGTCTATCGTTGCTCGGATGAACCTCACACAGTTTGTGGACGAAATCACCAAGCTGCTGGACCTCAAAGAAGGTGGGTTCACGATCAAGGGCTTCAAGCTCACGCTGAGAATTCTTGACGCGGAACGGAAACGTCACGAGAGTGAGGTTCCCCTAGGGCGTGAAGATCTGTTCGATAGTTGGAAAAGGACGGGAACGGCTCTCACGGCCACAGCAGTCAAGAGACGAAAACAAACTGAACAGATCGTCGCATTACTCCCTGTAAGCATTGAGATTATAGTCCATGCGGAGGGCCAGGAAGTCGAGTCTGCCACGGAAGACGAGTTGGACTTGGATGTTTGGAATTGAGGATGCTTTGTTCTATGGGGTTTTTCTTTTCGGGTTTTTTGTTCCAAGTGTGCATCTTATCCACTCATTTCACCAATTGATAGACCACTCGGTTGTTTTCTATCAGAGATCATGCTGTTTACGTCGATCCAGTAAGGGACTGGCCGTTGGAGGCATTTCATCCTCGACAACACCCCAGCGCAAACCAAAGAGGATCTGGTAAATCCAGTTCATCTCAAGAATGGGGCTTTTAGAATTGTCAATGGTTGGGAATGGTTGATTTTCTATTGTTTAGGGCCAAATGTAATGTTTTGGCCGCGGACAGTGCTGTTGCCACTTGCAGCGTCTCCTCCTTGATCTATGTCAAGTCGAAATATAACGGCACGAGATCGTATCCTGAAAATTGGACGTTAGTTGAAAGTCTGTCATAAGACAAGTACATTTTCTCGTTACTGTAGCTAAAGTAGCTGCATTGTCTAGTCAGACCTTCACTTTCAACTTGATAGTATCAAGTCATCCGCAGATACATAGCTATTCGAAAAGGGAGACCACATGGGGAACTTGGAGGGACAGCACGTGCTGATTAGATATGTAGCTGTCACAACAATTCGTTTCAGTTGACATGTGTTTGGAGTTCTGAGGCATATGGAAGGGTCAATGAAATCGGATACAGGACATGGGTTGGAACATGGATTTCAAGACGTACCCTGTGTCTTTTTGCGTGATACGAAAGGCACCTGTCCCGCGTCGCTCCTGGAAAAGATGCTTTGGCTTCAGGCAGGCTTACTGAAAAGCAGAAGACGACCAATCCAGGAAGCGAAGGTCTGTGATGGTGTGGCCTAGATGAAGAAACGAAAACCCAGCCTTGTATTCGGAACAATGGTCAAAATTCGGATATCGAGGTTCGGAATTGTGATAAAAAACATTTCATGGACATAACGCATGCTCTTGATGCACGAATGGAATGCATGTGGCGTTCCGTGTTCCATTCATCGTAATCCAGAGCATCGAGCAGAATCTAGGCGGCTTTGTAGTAACAGAGCGCTGTATTTCAGGGGCCCGCAGCTCGCCTCCAGCTACTTTCTCAGCAATTTACAGGCTGCATCCACTGATCAAACGACCTTGAACAGCTGAACCGACTCCACCATCACGCGGCAAGCAACACGTGACCTGCATGAGACCCCAGGATGTTCAGCATTCAAAGTCGCAATCTGGCATCGTTCATCAGCCTCCCTGAATTCACGTCTCACTACATCCTCTCTGTGCATTGCTGTTTTTTTTTTGCTGCTTTTCGTCTCTCATTAACGTCACAATGCCTTCCCCGATTGTAACGGCCACGCTTCAGGCGTCCACACTTTCGACCGTGTCAAACCTTTGCGCCCAGTTCATCCAGGCGTACCAGGAACAGGTGCGCTCCTTTGCCAGTGCTTAGACATGTCGCCCTCCCCTTTCTGACAAAGAACCAGCGACCATTCCGCCTGGACCTGATCCAGCTGCTACGCTTCATTATCCTCTCCGCCGTCACGTGTCCGCCCAATTTTCACTGGCAGCAGTTCCTCGAGCGGAGTTTCCCAGCCTACCCGTTGCCCGCACATGCGCCGACGGACCGTTCCGCCGAGATCGAGCTGAAGCGCCTCGACAGCGAACCCTCGCGGCTCGAGGATGGCACCGTCGTCGCGCCGGAGCCCCAGTTCAGCTTGCGCAACACGCTGACCAAGTGGTTCGTCGACTGCATCACCATGGGCGCCATTATGAACACGGTTGCCTTTCTCGTCATCATGGGCGCGCTAAAGGGCCAGGGATTAGGTCCCATCTGGTACAACGTCGAGACGGTACGTGCTTCAGTTTTGCTTTTTTGCTTTCCACCAGACTCCATGCCCGCCAAAGTCACCTGCTTTTGCTGACTGACGATAGCAAACGATCCCGATCATTGTCGCGGGCTACAAGATTTGGCCTCTGGCGTCTATCATCAGCTTCAGTTTTGTACCTGTTCACAGACGCGTTGTGTTCCTGAGCTTTATTGGCTTGATTTGGGGTGTCTACATGAGCCTTGTTGCAGCAAAAGTTTAACCGCATGATGTCTGGTGTTCATGTACACTATGTTTGAGATATTTGAACGGGACCTTGTAAGCTTCTATGCTCGGTCGTATTCTCAAAGATGGTTGTGTAATCTAGAGGGGAGGGGAAGACGAGGTACTGTTTTCTGGTTTCCAATTTTGCAACAGCACTACCGTTTCAGCATTTCCGAGTTGCTCGGCTGCTGTGAGTAATCGTGCCACCAGGCGAAGAGGCTGTGGCAGCTTGGAATCGCTCAAGGAGGCGCGCGGCCGAATGGCCTCGTACCGCTTTAGCGTATCAGAAAGATCAACCAGGCTCCCTGGGAGCCGCGCCTGTGCCAGAGCCGTATGCCAGAGCGCGAGCCCCGCAAGGTTCGCGTCCTTCTTTGACAGGTCCTCCATGTCCAGCAGGGAGAGCGCAATCAGCATTCTGTTGGCGTACTTGTCGACCTTGGTCTTGTCGGTTTCGTGGATGACGTATTTGTAGCAGTCGTGGGCCAATTCGATGGGGATCGATGCGCGTAGATCGCCGCCATAGAAGCCCTTCACGTCGCGTGGCAGAGGGGTCTTGTTCCTCGGATTAAGCGCATTGAGCCAAAGACTGACGATGCTTTCGGGCACTGTGTTGCTGAAATGGTCCACTTCGATGATATCGCGGAGGACCGTCTTGTTCGCCTCGAAGCGTTGCTCTGGCGTGGACCCCTTGGCGGGGGCGCGCACCAAGTATGGTCCAGGCATCGGCTCGTCAAGCATCGACGTTGTAGCCCAGTTGCGTCGAGGAGTAGCGCAGCGTTTTTTCTTGCAATGAAAAGCATGCCGGGGCATTGGACGTCAGCTCAGATTCTTTTTGTGTCAGGCTTTGATTGATCCTCATTCATAATCATGGGAAACGAGAGCTTAGTCATCTTGCACCGAAATATTGGCTCAGTTCATGAAGCAGCATTATGAGACTAAATCAGGTCACGATTCCATATCAAGGCAATTGAATCAAGACTCTGATGACCATCATTCATCCAAGGCGTATAGCTAGAGATGAAGCCAGAGCAAGCTGTTCCTTCACAAGTAGAGATTTGATGGCCCTCATAAATTCAGGGGCTCAGACATACTCATTCCCAAACTAGAGAGACTTATATCAATTTCATCCACGGCTGGCAAAGCCGCTTCTACATAACCGGGCCGAAATACCTGCAAAGGTCAAAACTGCGCAACCTCATGTTTCAATTTCCAAGTCCCCGGATCGCTCACTTTTCAAATACATAACCGAGAAATCTGACACGCCCGGATTCCGAAACGAACAAGTGAAGTATTTTACCGATTGACTCAAAACAGCCAGCCATTGTCGGCGTGTGTAACAGCAGCTTTCCGCGACAATGTACCTGTTTCCCAAGAGTGGTTCCTTTCAGTAGCGTCATGAAGGCTCAGAAACCGATTAACGCTATTTCCGTATAATTGCTTTCCATGTTGATTAACGAACAGTCAATATGAACATCGACTTTGCCCACTGCATCCCTAGAGATATATATACCAATACCTCGTGCTTCTCAATACCGACCATTTGCCATCACCAACGCAACAGAACAAGCTCAGAAGACAGTTAGCCGCCATTCGCGAATACGTCTTCCACCAAGTCCTCAAGCATATATCGAAGAACCCAAATTTTCAAATCACCACCATGTGCCATCTATTCGTCAACACTGGCAATTGCAGCCTCTGCCATACACCAGACAACATGCCAGCAAATGTACTTCGCTGCAAGAAAGCCGATGATCGCAACGTCGAATGTGCTGGGCCTCTGAACTCGAGCCACAGTGCAATCCCTACCAAGGAGTGGAACGTATGCGAAATATGTCTGTCGAAAATCTTGGCGGCTATTGTCCACAGTCATTGACTGTCAACGTCCAGGGTCTTGGCGTAGCAACAACAGTCATCTTTTTATGTGTCAGTGCAAGCTATTGAAAAAGAAAAGTACAGCCCTGACTAAACTGAAGAGTACCTGAACTGATGCGAAGGCTGGAGTCAAAGCCATAGCGCATGGAGTCAAGAGCCTTCAACAGGGAATATTCCAATGATAGCCTCAGATAATATAAATGACTGGAATGCGTACTGCCGTCAAAGGAGCCACAATGCGAGCAGCGTATGTGACTCAATGTGATGATAACTCGATATGCTCCTTATGATCTAGTCCCTCACGAAGGATGACACCGATGAGAACGAGCGCACTGAGCGGGGCGATGTCGGCGTCAGTATCACCGGCAACGGCGAAGCCCATCGTGAGACTGGTTCGTGAGTTTGTAGGCGCGGGTGTATCAGTGGAGGTGGGAGCGGGCCCATGTCTGGTGATGGCTGATGCCTCGGCATGTAGCGTTTGCCTGGACGCTGGCGGGATCTTTCAGGCATGCCGTGTGCCTCAAATAATGTTGCAAGACTTTCCAAAACTGCTTGCGAGAGTGCAAGCTTCTCGTTGGGCAAGGCAATTCTCCGGCCTGATGTCAAGAAATAATCTAGTTCCCGCTTCAGTCTGTGAGGCTTAAGCTCAGCAGCCCAGACACTCTCTTCGAAACGTTTTCTTGTTGGCAAAAGCATCCAGTCCCAGCTTGCCAGACGGGCGAATAGGCGTGGCGATAGTGGCAAGAATGGACCCCAAGCCTTGCGTGGAATTTCGAGAAGTCCGAAAGCGTGGAGGACCGCGAGTGAAAGAGTTGTAGTGTCGGACTCCGAGTCACTGGGCAGCCCAACCTCAGCCGTGACGCGTGCCTCAGCCCTCTTTTCATCCTGTGCAGGGTCAAAGGCATAGAGAAGATCCTCGAGCGTCTGTTGCATCTCTGTTGAATTTAGGTCCGTATCTTGAATGAAAGGAACCGTGATCCATACATGAACCCGTGGCTCCCACACATCCCAGCATTCAGGGTCGTCGCACAAGCTGACCTGGCAAACGCGACAAACCTTCATGCAATGTTTCGCTGCGACACTCATAGCCTTATCGCAGCAGTCGCATGTCCAGTTATAATATGTATTTTCCTCGTACTTGTCGCTTTTCTCCACAATATCGACTCGTAAGGCAAGTCGATGGAACAGAGTGATGGTATGCTTGTCGTAACCTCCACGGAATAATAGCAGGTCGATCATATCGAGCATCGCAGTCTGGTGGTTGCGCAGAGTCCTGTGTGTGTATACCACCTTCAATATGGACGCATGAATTGTGCGATCAAGCCAACGTATTGTGTCTGGAGCTGGGTTCTTGCGTACACAAGGGTGTGTGTAGTCGAATGGTTTCAGTCCAAACCGGTCTCTCACGTCTATGAGGTCCGTGAAGAAGTCAATGTCTTCCACTCCGCCAGAGGCCCAGTAAAGCTTGCTAATCATTGACTGCGTGGTGGGATGCCGTGAGCTGCAATGAAGAACAGTCTTCCCCGCCCAATCAAGTGCTTTCATGTGGTCCCGGACGTCTTGCCGCTCGAGCAGAACATCTAAAGCTTTCGGCTTACGTCTCTGCATGACAAGATGCACTGCTGTCCTCCAAGAGGTGCCGTCAGGTCCACGCTGGCAACGTATGGGATCTGCCCCCTTTTCAAGGAGATACTCCACGAGAGGCATATTCTGAACGACACACGCCTCGGCAAGAACCGTGAAACCATCACAGGCCACAATATCGTTGATACCAAGTCCGTGATTGAGCAGCAGGCGGATAAGCCGGAGCGCAATCCCTGGCTCTTGGTCGACAATCCGTCCAACACATGAGTCGCCCAGATGGTCTTTCTGGCCAATATCAGCGCCATTGTGTAGCAGAAACTCTACAACCGCCACTGCACCCTCGCGACAGGCGTCGATGAGTGGCGTATGGCCGTAGAAGTCTTGGGAATTGATCAGCTCTGGAGCCGCAGCGTGCAGGATTTTAACCGCCTCCAGATTGGCCTTTTGACAGGCTTGGTGGAGTGGAATATCCATGAACAAGTACGCTTGTGACTCAGGTCGAGCTCCAGCTGCCAAGAGACACGCAATGGTTTCCTGCGGCTTCACAGCCCTCGCAGCCCGGTGTAGTGGTGTGTCGATTAAAAGACTCTCATCGTCCTGTAGGTTGATCATTGCTGGGTCGTGGTCTAACAATGCCTGACAGACATCAGCCATACCATCACCAGCAGCATAATGTAGAGGGCTCTCCGCCTGAGCTGGACGATGGAAAATTTGGGTATCTGCGCCGTAACCCAGTAGGAGCTTCGTCATTTCAGCACCCTTTCCGGGTTGAACCGCATGAATGAGCACATGGACACCGTGTTCGGGGATGTAGTTGGGATCCGGCGGCAGCGGATGCTCCATGAGCATGCGGACGATGGCGGGGCAATTCCTCTTGACAGCGAGATGGAGTGGTCCTCGGTCGCCACAACCCTCTTCCATTGTTGGGTCTGCGCCATAGTCAAGAAGCATCCGCACGATGCTCTCACTTTTGGTTGAGACAGCCCTCGACAGAGCGGACCTTCTACCCCAGCCCGCATGTATCTCAAGCGTGTTCAACGGGGCGCCGTACTCAAGAAGAATCCGCGTCATGCGTGCATCTCCCGCGCCCTCAGCCTGAATAGCGTAATGAAGCGGGAGAAGTTCGGCCTGACCAGGGACATATCCTGGTGTCGCGCCGGCAGCAAGCAACATCTCAGCAGAAGTAGAGTAACCATGTCCTGCCGCGAACGCTAGAGGGGGGATACCCAATTCGCCATCCTTCAGCGGCATCAGGTCGAGGTTGACACCAGGCCTCTCGAGGAGACAAGCCAGCCACTCAGGACGCTCCAATATCAGCTGATGGTGCAAAATTCCAACGCCATTACCGTCGATCATGTTTATGTCGCTTATACCACGAAGAAGAATCTTGAACATGTCGAAATCTTTTCTGACGATCGCATCTGTTATCGGGCTCCGCTTGTCCTGACACCACACGCTGGCATCGGCCCCTGCATCAATGAGCAACTCGACTGCTTTCAGATCCGTACCTAAGACAGCTGCAGATTCGAGGACAGTAATTCCTTTGAGATCTGAAACGTTTGGTAACGCGCCATATTGCAACAGCTTTTGAACCAAGCGCGCATCATTCGATCTTCCCGCAATGTGCAAGCAGGTATCTCCTGCATATGATGGAATATTCGGATTAGCACCAGCCTGTAGGAGTATGTCAGCGATTTCGAGGGAGCGACTATCGTTGTCCGCTGTCAGGGTTCTGTGACTACCCTGACAAGCAATAAGTAGCGCTGTTTCTCCGGTACCTCTGGCTCGTTTGTTGATGTCCTGGGTACACTCGAGGACTAGCTCTATGATTTGAATGTGCCCCTCACGGCAGGCATGGTGCAAAATGTTGAGGCCGTGGTAGTCTTGAAGGTCATCCCAACATCTAAGAAGAGGTTCTCGACGACGGATGGCAAACTTCAACATGTTCCTTGGCAGGTCTAACATGCCAAAGGGTAGTAAGCGGTCCATTATCTTTTCAAGAACGGGCTTTGTTTGTGCTGATGACAGAAAATGCCGGACCATGATTCGCGCGTCTTCTTTCGCCAACTCAATGCAAGGTGGCACACGATGGCCGGCGCATGATTCGCTCTCATTTTCTGACCATGCTTTATAGTGGCACCAAGTCTGAAAGGTTTGAGATCGGTCAGATATGAAGTCCTCGAGCTTCGATAACAGTTTGAAGCCCTTTGTCTCGGATCGTGCAAGGTGCCGCGCCCACCGTGTCGCGGCGTACGAGTAAAATGGGTACTTTGAATTGAGGAAGTCTTGTGCTTCTGGTCGTGGTCTATCATAGATAGAGAATGGCGAAGTGAACTGTGGGCGTGATAGATATCTTAGACAGATGGCGGCCAAATTTGCGTGTTGTTCTTGTCGAGTAACAAATCTTTCAATGTAAATAACCAAGCTTCTGTGAATAGGTCTAAATCCGGGGCCATGACAGGGCACGAGTCGAGAGATCCGGCCTCTAAGCAACGACCATGGAGTCATGCCCTTGACATCCGAGTCGTCATACAGACACGATATCGCATCTAGCATCTCTGTCATATTGAGCGGGCCGAGAGCGCTAATATGGAGCATCAGCAGAAGCAGAGCGTAGTTATTGCTGCTTGTGTCCTGTAGAATAGGTAATAGCTCGTGATCATAGTATTGAGAGACTGACGGAGGACAAATGTCATCGTATGATTCGAAACCCCCGCGCCTGCAGTCTTCTGCCCGTTCAAGTTCTGCACAATGACTAGCTGCGGCGACGAAAAAGGTATCCGACTCATCTTTGACCCAAAATTTCTTTTTGCGGATCATCTGTGACGGGATGATGCCAGTGAAGCGCTCAAAAAACTCATCAACATATACTGCGATATCTGCCTTAACGACGGCTGGCGCAAGTTGGATATGTCGGAATCCCGATGTCTGGCGAGGTACACGATTGGGGCTCATGGTGAGCAGAAACTTGAAACGTGGCCTAGGTGGTTCGACTTGACCTGGAAGCGGTGTCTGGTCGATTCCTTCAATGATAAGTTTTCCGATAAGACTGCTTATTTGCTGTACGAGACGTTCCACGAGAGAGGGATCACACAGGTCAAGGCCATCAATGATGAAGTAAACGGTATTCATCGAAAGCTTTGTGCTCTTGATACCACGCAGAATATCAAACAGGGTATCGTGAGAAAATCGAGAACCTGGGGGTGTACGATTCCTGTATCTGGGAGGAACGCCATCGAACCATTCCGGTTTACGGCACAGAAGGTCGTAGATGAAGTAGTCTAGAATGGCTGGTTGTTTTGCATGGCTCGTATGGGTGTTGCAAAAAAAGGCTATCGTTGGATTTTCTGGGGGTTGAACAGTAATCAGGTGGTTGACAATGGTCTTTGCGAGATACGTTTTGCCTGTGCCAGTATCTCCTGTGATAAACAAGGCACTCGAAGAGGGAGAGCTCATCCAGTTCTTGAATGCAATGTTGAACAAGAACCAGTGCCTGGTTCGCAGCGCTGGGGCAATATGATTGCCAAGATTGTCCTCTGTCCAGCCTTTCAGCCAGGTCATGAATGTGAGGCGTTGCTCGTTGACAAGCTTTCTCTGGGACCGGGTCAAGGATCCCCGACTGCTACGTGAAGAATCACTTGCGCGCGCTAAGGTTAAGGGCATCAGACAGAGGTTCTCATATGCACAGTCAACTTGACTCACCAGGGCTTGTCGGCCTCGATCCAGGCAGTGTCGATGGCGGCGACTTTGGGCGGGGTGATTTGGGCGTCGGTAGTAATGGTAACGTGGCTGGTCTGAAAGCAGTGCCCTGTGTGATGGCAGCGTGCATGTCTACAAGTCGTTCTTGAAGTCGACGAAAGCAGTCGTCTACCGGGGATGCAAAATTCGTCATTTGTTCATGGGTGCACTCCATGATTTCGGTGATACCTTGGCCCATTCCCAGGGCAGAACTGGCTTTCGGGATGATATTTGTCATGTAGGCGGGCTCGTCATCGGGCGCGATGTTGGTCGTAATACCCTCAGTAAAGTTGACAATCTCAAGTTCTCTGGTCAAACCGGAAGTGAAACTGAGGTTGATCGCTTTGGCCGACTCAACGTACTCCTTGATTTCGTTGGTCGTGATACGGGATGACTGCCGGGCATGCAGAAGAACAGTGGTTTTGACGCAGGTCAACAGAGGCTCAGAGTCTATGATGTGTGGCGTCCCCAAGAAAATGATTCCGGCTGCAGTTGCCCTGATCGACTTATGATTTGGGAAGCTTGGGTTCAGAAGACATAGCGCGAGAGCCTGGGGGCTTGTCAGTATCAGCGAATGACATGGGAATGCACGGCCAGACCACCTTTTTGATGATGAGCCCACCAAAGCCATGGGCTACGAATATGAACGGACCTCCTCCAGTGTCGCTGCAGCAGCTGTTGATGAGGCCTATGAGTTCGGTGGCATGCATGGCGATGCTGGCTGCATTCATGTTGGCAGCCAGGTCAGCGTTGTAGGTGTAGAGCATGACACGAGCATTGTCGGCAAGCGAGCCCAGGAAGTCCGTCTCAGCGACCCATGTCTTGCCTGCGATATCGTGATACCATGTCTGCAAGGGGTTGCGGCCGAATCCGTGAACACAGACGATGCTGAGGGTATGAGCTCACTGATTAGTGGAAGGCGGTTCAAACTCACTCAACGGTGCGGCGCCAACGTGGGCTTGGTATGGTCCCAGGCGCTGGGTAAACAGTCTCGAGACCCAGCGAAGGCATGTCGTTGGAGCGTTGATGCCAGAGCACCTCTGCTTACCTAGGTTGAGTGAGAATGTATGAGGGGAACCGTGAGCAAGGCAGACACCCCTCAGACTCTCAAAAGCAGGCGGCCAGCCCTGAGTAACAGCCCTGTCAAGCCAGAATGTTGGCCACGACATGTTGCATTGCCTTTTGTTGGCCGCGATTGGGCAGGCGATCCTAGGCTGCATCGGCTTCGTGCGACGAACATGCTGCTGGGGCTGAAATGCTGCAGATGAGGCATGGTCCAATTCGAGTGACCGAAGGCGCTCGAGCAGGGGTAGCAATTAGCAATTGTTGAGTGTGCAATCTGGCGCAGCTAGAGCCAATTGGCGTCCTCCTTCGCTGCCCGCATCCATCCAACTTCACCCTGTCTGACGCCTCAGGTGGGATTCAGAAGGCGACGAGAGGGGCACATGGCGGCGGAACAATCATAATGCTAATCAAACGCGGATTGGATATCGAATTATCAACCCTCGCGAAAACATTGTTTCTACTTCGCCATGGCGTCGTCTAGAGCCCGACGAGCAACCTCTTCGAGCTCATCCTGCTTGTCGCAAAATATATTGATGGCTTGGTTAAGCTTCACTTCAGCCGATCCATGCCCGCTTCTGGTGAACAAAGTGCGATATGCACTTTCCCTTCCCCTATATAAAGCGTCGAATGCTTTCCTGTCGAACTTTGATTCCGGCCCAGCTGCAAAGTAGGCACCGAGCTTACCATGCTCACTTGGAAGTGAGCTGTCTGAAAGACCACGGAGGAGAGGCGGTGACACGGTAATGTGGTGGATGCCGGCCAACTGCAAAACCTCCGCTGTGGACGTCAAGCTAGCTGCAAGGACCTGCGTTCGCGCTGAGGTTTCGGCATAGTGATGCTGTACTTGGCGCGTGAAATCGAAAGCCTTGTTTTGATCAACATAACTATGTAAATTGGTCAATCTCCATTCCGGTGTTAGTTGACTCAAAAGCTGCTCACCCAGGCTCAAAATGGACCTTGAGTTCGTTGACGTAGGGGGCAATGTAGGTGCACCGTGCATTGGCGGCCAAAACGGCCTGTTCCATGCAGAAGAGGGTGGTGGCCAGGGTTGCGACACGGTTCGCCGGGATATCGTCGTTCTCAAGGATGCGACAGGCCCCAATACCTTCGAAGGTGCCAGGAATCTTAACACAAACCCTCTTTGTATCGAACGTCGGATCGACCCGGGAAAAGATGTCAACAATACCTCGACATCAAGTCAGCCCAAATTGACCGATTTCTTGGGGCAGCCGTCATAGCTTACGTCTTGCGTTTCTGTATGTTTTTTTGGTCGAGTACGCCCAATATGGGTTCGTTTGGATGTGGAGGAAACCAGTCACATAGGGTGCGAATTGAATGGAGAGCCGAACCATCTATAGGCGCGAGCAGTTAGGCGCTGGACCAACAGCGGCAGATGTATAGGCTCGAATACCATGATCTCGACCGCGAATGTAACCGGGTCACCTCCAGGAACAGCCGAGGGCAGCCACGCCAGAGCATCTCGTGCAGATTGCCGGATGAGCTGTTCGTGAATGAGGGTACCATCAGGCGCAGTGCGAGCGAGCTCCCCTGCAGCGATAGCCTAAGGTCTGTCAATGAGAGATCTTCAGGATTCAATGCTTGGAGAGTCCGACCTGATTGGAAGTGACATCCACGAAGGGACCGAGCCCTTTGGCCACTTCGTACTTGTCAGTTCAGGTGGCGGCGCTGGCGGACGTAAGGATCTCCTCACCTTGGACGTCAAGCGTGTCACAGCTGATCTTGCTCGCCTTGCGAAGGTCTTCAAGCTGAGAAGGCATGGCGTGTCACAATGATGGTATAATATTCCAGATTCTTCAGTCAAGGAGAATGCGGACGCATGGTGGGAGCCAAAGGATATGGTGGCGAGCGGGGAGGTGCAAATGCCGTCCAACGATGGAGCCAGCACGGGTGTGGATGGGTACTTGGAAACCCGACGGATAAATTGGTAGGGAGCCTCTCATGCCGGCCGGTGTCCTGTGCCAACTACCGCAATGTCTCGACTCATATGATCGCTGTTCCGACATGATGCTGGTAGCGCTGATTCGGTGGCTGTTGTGAGTATGTGTCAGGGACCTGCAGCCAGCGAGCGTTTGGAGGTGCAGGACCCATAGCTGACGACCCAGTCGTCGTGAAGTATCGCGGTATGGCGACGCGCATTCGCGGACAGAGGCCGAGACCGGCCGCTGACCGGTCCCCAGATGTATTTTCTGGACGACCCGCTATTTGAGGCGAGATAGGATGGTATCCGAAGGATCAGTCTACAGCTGCGGCGCAACACCCAAGAGTATAGTCAACGTAAGACATAATCCAAGGTAGACTGTGAGCGGGTCTTCAGACGGCGTTTTGGTACTTGAACTTGAACTCCACAGTTCACAATGACAGGGGAGGAGGGCCGATGGCTGCACCTGCCGCCAGGCGTAGAGATGCACCCAGCGGCTGCTGCCCGTTAAAGAGCTTTCCCGTTTCCGCGTCTGATTCGTGTCAGCCACCGCGTCAGGGACCGCGTCAAGCTCTTTCCCCAAATCGACTGTCACCATTTCCGTCCGCCCACCCTCTTTCCACAACCACGCGCAAACCTGCATCGGCTGTCCGGAGCTGTAGAAACTCTGCTTCTGTCGACTACACTTCCATGTCCTTCATCTCCCGATGACTGTGAAATAATACTTGACAGCCTCAGCACAGCGACGCAGCAGCTCCCACGACGACACAAACTCGATAACCCACCCCGACACTCTCTTCCGCCATGGGTATCAAGAACCTTTTCCAAATCCTCAAGGAGGAGGCTCCCGACGCGATCAAGGAGGGCGAGATCAAAAATCAGTTTGGACGAAAGGTGGCCATTGATGCGTCCATGTCGATCTACTCCTTCCTCATCGCAGTGCGGTCGGACGGCCAGCAACTGATGAACGAATCAGGCGAGACGACCTCGCACCTGATGGGCATGTTCTATCGTACACTGCGCATGGTCGACAATGGAATCAAGCCTCTTTACGTCTTCGACGGCGCACCACCCAAACTCAAGTCGGGTGAGCTCGCCAAGCGATTCCAGCGCAAACAAGAAGCCAAGGAGGGGCTCGAGGAAGCCAAGGAGACGGGCACAGCAGAGGATATTGAAAAATTTTCGCGACGAACGGTGCGCGTGACACGCGAGCACAATGCGGAGTGCCAGAAACTGCTGAGGCTGATGGGCGTGCCGTTCATCATTGCGCCCACGGAGGCCGAGGCTCAATGCGCCGTCCTGGCCAAGGGCGGCAAGGTGTACGCTGCCGCGAGCGAGGACATGGACACCCTGACATTTGAGACGCCCATCCTGCTGCGCCATCTGACATACAGTGAGCAGCGCAAGGAGCCGATTCAGGAGATCCATCTCGACAAGGTCATGGAAGGGCTCGGCATGGAGCGCAACCAAGTACGTTGTTCTCCTCGGAGACATGGCCAAGTTTCGGACTCTGCTGACCTGTGGCTAGTTTGTTGACCTCTGCATTCTTCTGGGCTGCGATTACCTCGATCCGGTGCCCAAAGTCGGCCCCAGCACGGCGCTCAAGCTGATCCGTGAGCACAAGACACTCGAAGGGGTGGTGGACTATATCAAGAATGATCCCAAGAGCAAGTACACGCTGCCGGAGGACTGGCCATTCGCAGACGCGCGCGAACTGTTTCTCAACCCAGACGTGCGGCCGGCAGACCACCCCGACTGCGACTTCAAGTGGGAGAAGCCGGACATTGAGGGCCTCGTGACATTCCTTGTGACGGAGAAGGGTTTCTCTGAGGACCGCGTGCGCAGTGCAGGGGCGCGGCTGGAGAAGAACATAAAGGGTTCACAACAGAGCAGGCTCGATGGTTTCTTCAAGATGATGCCCAAGACGGATGAGGAGAAGCAGGCACACAAACGCAAGTTGGACGAGAAGAACGAAGAGAAGAAGAAGAAGGCCAAGCTGGATAAGAAGGAAAAGGCACAGGCCAAGGCCAAGCCGAGAGGCGCCTAGGGGCAACGAGGGGCTATCAGCACGTGGAGGAGTTTCTTGTTGAATGTTTTATGGTGCAAGGGGTTTGCTTCGGCACTCAGGGCGTACGGCGTTTCTGGGGTAGACGCTGTCTGCCCAATCTAGGAAGGGGCAGGTGAAAATACGACGACATGCTGAAGGGACGGTGCTGCGGCTAGGTCGGATACGCCCATTTCATGATGGAACAAGTGAACGCAGATTGGTAGTATTTGCAATCATAATTTCAATTTTGCGCTGCAATACTCCCATTCTCATGCAGTGCCGTGGTGCACCTTGAGGCAACCCGACACAGCACCAGACTTGTCTAGGCTCTTTTGGGCAGTCAATCCCTAGCTCCAAGCAGATGGCAGCAGCGTATCGTGGAGGGGTGGAGTGGAATGGAGGAACAGAGGAACGAGGCTCGGCTCGGTTCAGAGGTGTCGAGCCCTTACGAACGTCGGCCAGTCCATTGGTCAGTGAAAGGACAGGCCTGACAGAGGGGGCCTTTCTCTCCGCCCCCCACATCAGGATATCCCCCCCGGACTGTCCCAAGATGCATCAGCCGAGGTCTCCCATCATTTCTTTGGCTGCTACCTATCCATCCATCCACCCCCCACCAAAAGTCAATGACATCAAACCAGCTGGGATCACATGCCGTTTGTCGATGGACCTTTTCTGCGACGCTCGCGCTGGCCACATGACACGCGGAACATTGCCCCAGAAGGAGGAATTTCCCCACACAACGGGGCCTGTATCGGGCCCTGGCATGGGGCGACATGGAGGAGAAGCCGCAAGCATTGGCCTAACTGGGTGAACAGAGGCCCGTTTCCGCCATGGCCAGAGGCCTGGCATGTGATTGTCTGACTCTCTGACCGTCCGACCCTCAGGTTTCTGGCCCTTCCTTAAGTTTGGCAGCTTCTTTCTCTCTTGGTGCAATCGGTCGCAATTCTTTCTCTCCATCCGTCCACGCATTCATTCCCTCTGGTGGTCTCTTCCTTACCCCTCCTCTTCCGACGACCAAACCTCACCACAGTCGCCATGTCCAAGACCTTCTCCACAAGCGACGTCGCGTCGCACAACAAGCCCGACGACCTGTACATCATTGTCGACGGCGACGTCTACGACCTGACCAAGTTCCAGGATGACCACCCCGGCGGCAAGAAGATCATCCAGCGCGTGGCCGGCAAGGATGCTTCGAAGCAGTTCTGGAAGTACCACAACGAGGGCATCCTGAAGAAGTACCAGGCCAAGCTGCAGGTCGGCTCCCTCGACTCCAAGCCCAAGCCCGTCGAGCCCGCCCCCGTCGCCGCTGCGCCCCAGCCCACCAAGGCCGTTGTCAAGAAGGCCGCGCAGGAGGCTGCGCCGGTCGACGAGTCGGAGCCCTTCGACCCCTACGGCAGCCTCATCCCCTTTGCCGACCCCAGTTGGTACCAGTCTGTATGTTTTCCTCTCTCCTTGCCCTTCCCACTTTTCGCTCCTCGATCGACCCTCAGCTCGTCACGATTCGTGCTTTGCTGACAAACAATCGCAGTTCCACTCTCCCTACTACAACGAGACGCACGTCGCGCTGCGCAACGAGGTGCGCAAGTGGGTGGACGAGGAGATTGAGCCCTTCGTCAGCGAGTGGGACGAGGCCAAGCTCGTCGACCCCAAGATCTACAAGGCCATGGGCCAGCGCGGCTACCTCGCCGGCCTCCTCGGCATGCACTACCAGACCCAGTACAGCCCGAAGACGGTCGACGCCGTGCCGCCTGAGAAGTGGGATCTGTTCCACGAGCTCATCCTGACCGACGAGCTGTCGCGCCCCGGCTCTGGTGGCTTCGTCTGGAACATCATCGGCGGCTTCGGCATTGGCTGCCCGCCGCTGGTCAAGTTCGGACAAAAGGCTCTCGTGGACCGCATCCTGCCCGGCATCCTCGCCGGTGACGAGCGCATCTGCCTGGCCATCACGGAACCCGACGCCGGCTCTGACGTTGCCAACCTCTCGTGCGAGGCCAAGCTGACGGAAGATGGCAAGCACTTTATCGTGAACGGCGAGAAGAAGTGGATCACCAACGGAAAGTGGGCCCGCTATTTCACTACCGCGGTACGTACCGGCGAGCCCGGTATGAACGGCGTCAGCTTGCTGCTCATCGAGCGTGACTTTCCCGGCGTCACGACGCGTCAGATGGACTGCCAGGGCGTGTGGTCGAGCGGCACGACGTACATCACGTTCGAGGACGTCAAGGTGCCGGTCGAGAACCTGCTGGGCAAGAAGGACAGGGGCTTCCGAGGTATGTGTCCCCCCCCCCCTCTTCTTTCTTTCCATTTCAAGAGAGCGCAGAGGATCTAACACGACGCAGCCATCATGACCAACTTCAACCATGAGCGCATCGGCATCATTATCCAGTGCCTGCGCTTCTCTCGCGTCTGCTACTCCGAGTCGGTCTCGTACGCCTCGAAGCGTCGCACCTTTGGCAAGAAGCTCATCGAGCACCCCGTCATCCGCCTCAAGCTCGCCCACATGGCGCGCCAGATCGAGGCGTCGTACAACTGGCTCGAGAACCTCATGTTCCAGTGCCAGAAGATGGGGGAGACGGAGGCCATGCTCAAGCTCGGTGGTGCCATTGCCGGCCTCAAGGCTCAGTCCACCGTCACCTTTGAGTTCTGCGCCCGCGAGGCGAGCCAGATCTTTGGCGGCCTCAGCTACTCCCGTGGCGGACAGGGAGGCAAGGTCGAGAGGCTCTACAGGGATGTGCGTGCGTATGCCATCCCCGGCGGTAGCGAGGAGATCATGCTCGACCTGAGCATCAGGCAGAGCATGCGCGTCAACAAGGCGTTGGGAATGAAGCTGTAGGCTGGGAATGAAGCTGTAGGCTGGGAGTGAAGCTGTAGGCTGGGAGTGAAGCTACAGGCTGGGAGTGAAGCTACAGGCTAGGCAAAGCTGCAAGCTAGGGGAAGCTGCAAGCTAGGGGAAGTCGTGGTGTATGAGTAGCATGTCATGCCTTTGTCATTTTTTACTTAGCCTGTTTTCTTTTGGTCGGCGCTATGCACGGTTGCATCAAGCTGCCCTTGATACCTCTCGATTCGAAAATGAAGGAAGAAGACGAGACGAAAATTTCTGCATCTGCTTCACCGTTGACGACGCGAAGGATGACTGTTGCCGTGTCGATGATGACAAGCTGCTGCTGGTATTGGCCTGTTCCAGGTCTTGCTCTGCTGATCACCTGCCAGAAACGACGAGAAACCCAGCAGTGCTAGAGGCAGGATTTTGAGCTTCGTGCTCTCCACTCCCCCCTCCCTCCCCCTGTTCATCCCAAACCGCCTGGACAAGCTGTCGTGGTGGGAAACCCCCGCCAGTTTCCACCGAGCAGCCTTCAATGCCAGCACCTCCGGCAAGATGGATTGGGGGCATAAACTCTAAAAAGCCAGCCGGCCTGGCGCCAAGTCTCGTATTGCTGCCGTGTGGATGTCGAATCGGTGAATTGGCCTTCCGCTTGTCCTGATGCAGCCGGCGCCGGCCCCGCTCCCCACGCCGAATCTGCAGGTCCCGCTGGCCCCGCATCCGTTCCCGGCGAACGACTTGTCCCCGTCCGGACCATCGGATGGGGGAACATGGGAAAAAAAAATCCCAACTGGCGCACTCGCACGCTGGTGTCTCAGGAACAAGGCCCCCACCCGCCTTGCCAGGAGCGCCTACCGCTGCTGCTGCTGCTGCTGCTGCTGTTCCCGGCCATCCGCAAATCAGCAAACCTGCATGATGCCATCGTGGATCGATCTGCCGATTCAGCCCTGAACCGATCGGAGGTTGTATTTTCCCCAACGCGGCTGAGTCGCGCAAGCTGTGAATGCGGGCTTTCTTTTCTTCTTTGGTCCACCATTTCGCTGACGGCATCTCGCCTTGCGATCACCATGCCACTCGGCGCCGACCTGGGAGCCCGCTTGCCGCCTTCATAGCGTAACCAGTCTGTTTTCCCTCCCGCCCAACAAAGCGCATAGTCATGGATGGTGTGTGAACGAAAGCGGCCGGCGAGCTCTTACCAGCGGTTCCATACGTTGGGATGAGGATCTCTACCGCGGTCCTTCGAGTACAAAAGAAGGCCAGCGTCGTCGACATCCAAGGTCTTTCCTTCTATTCTCTCAGCATTCCAACGCAACGTCAGCTTCCACACTCTCGCTTTTCTCCGCTCCTCGTCCCGCGTCTATCCCCCCCTTGACTGTCGCTTCTCTCGCCTTACGAGCTATCCACTTTCGTTCCTCCGCAAGGCCTCAGCTACAATGCATTCTTCGGCTCTTCTCCGCCTCGTCGTCGGCAGCTCGGCCCTCATTGTTGGTGCCCAGGCCCAGCAGTCGTCTGAGCTGCCCATCCCTTCGAGCGTCGCGCCCTCGAGCGTCGCGCCCTCGAGCGTTGCGCCTTCGAGTGTTGCGCCTTCGAGTGCCGCTCCCTCGAGCGTCGCTCCTTCGTCGGCGCCCGCGTCCTCGGAGGCCGCCTCGTCCTCTCTCGCGGCTTCTGCCACCGCCACCGTCACTGACACCGTCACTGACACCGTCTACCCCACGCCTACCAGCTTCCACTGTAAGTCCTCGGCCCATTCGTCTTCGGTCACCCGAAACGCGGTGCTAACACGAACCAGATGAGCCCACCTACCACCGTATGTGCACCTTTGGGGGCTCTCCACCCCTGTTCCGCCCAGATTGTGTGAATCTAACGTGAAAGCAGCCGGCCCCAAGCCCACTCTGACCCATCACTACACCATTGACAAGTGTCAGAAGTACCACGGCAAGGACTGCTACCCCGGCCAGGTGTACACCAAGCACTACGAGCCCAAGCCCTGGTACTACGAGGAGTGCACGACCTACGTCAGCTACGTGCACGGCGTCGCCACGACCTGCACCGACACGTACACGCGCACCAGCTGGTACGACCAGGAGAAGACGACGATCAAGCAGTACGAGCACAAGCAGACGTACTACGAGACGCACGGCGCCGCCACCGTCACCCTGACCAAGGCCGTGCCCACGCAGACCCTCGTGCCCATCTACCCGACCCCGGTCGTCCCGGTCAAGCCCGAGCCCGTCCCTGTCCACCCCCCCGTCAACCCCCCGGTCAAGCCTGAGCCTGTCCCCGTCCCACCCCCCG